ATTCTATGTGGTCATAAGTCGAAAGCAACAATTTGCTTTTAAAGTTTTAACTTTAGAAATGATGCGTCTTTTTTTAAAGAATAGGAACGGAAAGAAAGGAAAACATTTCTTAAGAGTCAGACAAACAGTTAGATTTTTAATTTTTTAATTTTTTAAATGCACTGAATTGAAATTTATTTGTACATATTTTGCTCGTATGACGTCATACAAGTACTAAGTATGAAGATAAACTACATCCGGTAGCAAGACCTCTGATCGTAAGATTACAGGTTTTGAGGAGCGTGGAAACACCTCTTAATTGCTGACACTATGAAAGAAAAATATTTTTATAGTAAAAATACCAGCAATAGATATTTATATAAAAAAGGACCGACAATACATTCTTAAAGCAAAATGACCAGCAATTCATTTTATCTGTAGTTGAAGGCATAAAATTGCGTTCAATTATACTTACTTGAAGCCATAAAGCTGTTCAAATTATTTGGATTTCGGCATTAAATAACTCATAGAGGTTGATATGCCAAACAAAATCAACCAATCAAAATGACGTCATACAAACATCCGAAGAGATTTATCTCACCGCATATATACCCGCAGTGTCGAGTTATTTCCTTTGTTTTTAATTCAATGGATGTAATTTTCATTACTTAATTATACAAAAAGAATACATTTTAGTGAATAAATTCTTTTCTAGTTAATTTTCGTTTGTTAATTATTGATTTTAATGTCATTGTCCAATGATTTATTGCACCCATATAGTTTTTATTACTGTGTTCATATGGATTTATGTGAGTTCACCTGTACATTTTTGTGCTTTAACGGTTCAGTAAAAAGAAATCAGATTATTCTGGTTTGAGGTTATCTTAGGCGTCTGTAACTAGAGTGTAGTATTTGATTCAATTGGTCTTATGTCATACACGCTTTTTTTTTGTTAAAGAGGCAGAGTTTTTCAGCCTGATTTGGCTACCTGCTCAAGAGAGAATTCAATAAACCTACGACTCCGTGGCCTTGCTATCATCGTTTCATCTTGATGAGCTACAGCAAGTAAACCTTGGATTTAAAGGGTAAGGAAGGTAACAGGCATATTAGCCTGCACATTTCTATGATCCAGTCCTGTAATCAAGTCTGGTAGCGGTGACTGTAGAGAAAAGACGACAAGTAGAAGGACAATGTAAGTTACACTAAAAATCCTGCAAGCAGGTGGCCCAAAGTCACCTGATGTTGATTAGAGACAACTGCATTATTCAGGGTCATCTTGAATGACCGATTATTCAACAGAACTCAAATATACGATCACCTTCCTAGTAAAATCATTTGACATTTTCGATAATGTATTCCATTGTAATAGTCTGCTTATAGCTTATCTAAAATAGAACTTATACTGTAATGTTTGACCATAATACGTTCATGTTACTAAAATCAAAGGGTGGGTGGTCATAAATAGCATCCAGTAGTATCCAATATTTGCGAACAATAATTAAAAAAAATAATTCTCCAGATTCTAACATGATAAATTCGCATAAAAAAGAACTTTTGGATAAAAAAAAAGTAATGTTTATATGAAAAAACGTCTAGATTTACAGAACAGATAATGCAAATTTAATTTAATATTGATAGAGAATATTAATAAAACATTTATAAATTACAACTTTTATTTCTGCATATCCACGACCTCTGGATTTATCAATTTTTATCACATTGTTCAGGTTTGATTTTGACGCATTTCTTCTGCAGTTTATGTCACAAATCATTCAATTTTGTTTATTTTCTTGGCCTAAAAATTATCGCCGATGATCTTCCAAAGATTCTCAATTGGAGTTAGCTCTCAACTTTGGGTGAGCGAAGCCATAACCTCGACGTTTCCAGTTTTAAAGAATTGTTTTACAGTTTTTGCAGTATGGCAAGAGGTATTAATTTGCATAAAGATGGGCGCACAGACAGGAGATGCTATCAAGAATAACATGAAATTCAATATTCTTATTCAATGAAGCAATTACTTTGCCATTTAACCGAATGAGTGAGTCAACATCACGTACACTAATAAGATATAATCTCCGAATTTAACTGATTTCCTTTCGTATTTGCCATACTGCTTGCCTAAGAGCTAACGAAATTCAACTTACTTTCAACGCTGAAGAACACTATACCCAAATAAGCCACGTAACCAAGCTAATGAACTCAATCCTGATGAACAGAACGAGAATCAGAATTAGACGGGAAGTAGGACAAGAACAGTTCGGCTTTGTCAAGGACACTGGAAAAAGAAATACAATATTTATTATTAGAATTATATTGGAGAGAGCAATACAAATGCAAAAGGATGTGCATTTATGCTTTATAGATTAGGCAAAAGAGTTTGACAAAGTACGGTATAAGGACCTGTTTGAAGTACTAGGGAAACTAGAAAAGATGTCAGAATAATACAGAACTTAAACTGGGAGAAAAACGCGCCAACATTCGGATAGAAAATGAATTGAGAAGCTACACAAAAATAGAAAGGGGCGTAAGACAATGATATGTCCTCTCTTCAGATGTGTTCAACTTCTACAGCGAGGCTTTCCTAAGGGAGCTAGAGAATCTACCAAGACATACTATCGCGGGAGTAGAGACAATCTTAACAATACAAGATACGCAGATGCCAATGTATCTATGGCAGATAGAGAGAGAAAACTACAGGACTTTCTGGACAAGATAGTAAAGGAACAGTAAGAAAAGAGAAAGTATGGTTATCAAGAAGAAAAAGTTCACGATACGAATTACGAATTCGAGATGTCAACATCAATCAAATACAGAAATTTAAATATAATGAAGAAGAATGGCTTCGTAAACTTTCACAGCGAACATTGAGGGCGAAAGAGAGAAAGGCAGCGAGTCACCTAACTGACGAGCTTGTGTCAATGGATGGTGGATCAGAACGCAGGGGGGCTTGGCAAAGACAGAAAGTTTCTCGATGATGAGAGGCTTTGACGTGCATAAAGCTCTGTTTCACATAAACACCATTACACTATCTACCGGGACGTTTTCATGCCAAATTCTTTGGTTACCTGACACATTTTCAAAACGGTAAACTATGAAGAGATTTTTAAACCAGTATCGTAATGCTTTAATATTCTAGATATTAAACATTTAGATCTAAACGTCTTCTGTAACAGAATTATCTCTTGAGTTTTGGTGTGATAGCCAAACGCCTGAAGGAAACATTAACTTTGCAAAAGCTTGATGACCTGATAACTTAGAAAACAATGCTGCAGACGAATAAGGAATATTACTTTATATTGTAATGATTCCTGTTTCATATTGGTTCTTTAAGTTTGGACGTTACAAATTTTTATAATAAAGATGTTTTTATGCGAATTTTTCATAGTTTTAAGAATAATTATTGCAGTTTTTATCAGTATTGAAACTTTTGAATTGGACAATTTTAAAAGTTTAGTTCTCTAATACTGGATATTAACTATCACAAAAATTGAAGATGCGCAGAAAAATGACGAACAAGATAGAGCTGTCTGTAAATGACAGTTTCATTTTCTTCTTTAGAAAGTGTTTACTGATAAATAGTATTGATAAATATAGTGAAATACAAAAGAAGACTTCCCCAAATAGTAAAAGGAAATTGTTAACATGAGAAAAAAGGTCAAAATCCTAATATAGAAGAAAAATATGGTGTCAAATTGTGAAAACACAAATAGTAGAAATGAGAAAGAATCTAACTTAAAAGAGTATTTGGTAAAAGACATTTCCCTTTCTTTCTTATATATATGAGAGAGTTTGACGAAAATGAATAATTGGGGTGTTACGGAGAGAGAGAGAGAGAGAGAAAATAAAACTCCAAGTGTACTTTTGGGTTTCAAATCTTGGAATTATTGAAAAGAATGAGCGCAGATGCAGTAGTTGATTAAAAATAGGAAAAAGCCCGAACGAATGCATGAAATCAGTGAAAACGGGACGCTAAAAGAAAAAGCGAATGAAATTTAATCTTTTCCAAATAAAAATATGCCGAGTGGTGAGGCATATTCTTACTATTCAAGACTATTTGGCAAAAACTTTTCCAATGAAAGCAATAATCGAATTCGAGAAACGACACAGCCTGTAATAGGAAACTGGATTAGTTTAGTGAAGGTTCTTCATTTAAACCGACCAATCGTCACGAACAGTTGTAAACAGATACTTTGGTCAAATCAATGTGAATGTAATGTACTAAAAGAGTGGGCAGATGCTGAATAGTCGCATACATATATATATATATATATATATATATATATATATATATATATATATATATATATATATATATGTGTGTGTGTGCAGATGGATTATGAGAGAAAATATACGAATAAAAATATTAAAAGAAAAAAATCTACTATAAATCGCCCAATCACGAAAAAAGTGATTGCATGGAAACAAATGGCTCATTCCGATCGAGAAACGAGAGAGATAAGTGAATGAAGTTAAACAGAGCGAGAGATCAAAAGGCGAACGAGGAAAGAAAAAGTAGAAAAAGAAAAAGAAGGGCAACATGAGAAACTGGAAGATGAAAATAAGACAAATATTGGGAGTTATCGAAACAAGAAAGAAAGAGATAATAGAAAGAAAACGAGAAATTAGAAGGAAGAGGAAGAGAGAGAGAGAGACGGAAAGCGATACGAGAAAAAAACCATAAATTAAGAAAGAGAAAGGAAACAACGAGAAAGAGAAAGGAAACAACGAGAAAGAGAAAGGAAACAACGAGAAAGAGAAAGGAAACAACGAGAAAGAGAAAGGAAACAACGAGAAAGAGAAAGGAAACAACGAGAAAGAGAAAGAAATCAGAGAAAGAGAGAGAAAGAGAAAGAAATCAGAGAAAGAGAGAGAAAGAGAAAGAAAGAGAAAGAAATCAGAGAAAGAGAGAGAAAGAGAAAGAAATCAGAGAGAGAAATCAGAGAGAGAAATCAGAGAGAGAAATCAGAGAGAGAAATCAGAGAGAGAAAGAGAGAGAAATCAGAGAGAGAAAGAGAAAGAAATCAGAGAAAGAAAGAGAAAGAAATCAGAGAAAGAAAGAGAAAGAAATCAGAGAAAGAGAAAGAAAAAGAAAGAGATTGAGCTAAAGCGACCACAGGTGAGAGAGCACAGAAAATGCGAGAGAGAGAGAAAAAGAGAGAGATTGAGACAAAAATGCGAGAGAGAGATTGAGACAAAAATGCGAGAGAGAGATTGAGACAAAAATGCGAGAGAGAGATTGAGACAAAAATGCGAGAGAGAGATTGAGACAAAAATGCGAGAGAGAGAGAGAGAGACAAAAATGCGAGAGAGAGAGAGAGAGACAAAAATGCGAGAGAGAGAGAGAGAGACAAAAATGCGAGAGAGAGAGAGAGAGACAAAAATGCGAGAGAGAGAGAGAGACAAAAATGCGAGAGAGAGAGACAAAAATGCGAGAGAGAGAGAGAGAGATTGAGACAAAAATGCGAGAGAGAGATTGCGGGGGGAAACAGAAGAGGAAAGGAAAGAGAAGATGGTGGAGAGGGGAGGAAGAGAGGGGGAGAAAGGGGGAAGCTAAAGCGACGACAGGGGAGAGAAAACACGGAGAGAGAGAGAGAGACAAAAAAGAGAGAGAGAGAGAGACACAAAAATGAGAGAAAGAGATTGCGGTAGGGAAACAGGTGGAAAGGAAAGAGATAAGACGGAAGAGAGGGGAGGAAGAGGGGGAGAGGGTGGAAGCTAAAGTGACGACAGGAGAGAGAGAACACAGAGAGAGAGAGAGAGAACACGGAGAGAGAGAGAGAGAGAGAACACGGAGAGAGAGAGAGAGACACGGACGGAGAGAGAGAGAGAGAGAGAACACGGAGAGAGAGAGAGAGAGAGAACTCGGAGAGAGAGAGAGAGAGAGAGAGAACACGGAAAGAGAGAGAGAGAGAGAGAGAACACGGAAAGAGAGAGAGAGAGAGAGAACACGGAAGAGAGAGAACACGGAAAGAGAGAGAACACGGAGAGAGAGAGAACACGGAGAGAGAGAGAGAGAGAGAACACGGAGAGAGAGAGAGAGAGAGAACACGGAAAGAGAGAGAGAACACGGAAAGAGAGAGAGAGAACACGGAAAGAGAGAGAGAGAACACGGAAAGAGAGAGAGAGAACACGGAAAGAGAGAGAGAGAACACGGAAAGAGAGAGAGAGAACACGGAAAGAGAGAGAGAGAACACGGAAAGAGAGAGAGAGAACACGGAAAGAGAGAGAAAAATGAAAGAGAGGGAAGTGAAGGAGAGAGCGAGGAAAGAAGAGGGAGTGGGGGGAAAAAACCAAAAAAACTGCCCACTACTGAATTTCCTGTCCCTTTTATTGGTATCAGACAACTGACAAAGACCCGAATCTGGAAAAGTTACAAAGAGGCCCGTATCTAGACATGCCAAGCTGCCCCACTTTGCAACGAAGACGACCCGGATGTATAATAATGACTATTTACATGCTGACTGTTGTCTTTATCGGCCGTTGTATTTCACCAACCATCATCAGGTGAACTGAACCCTTTACTTTACGATTGTTCTCGTTCTGCTGACCATGTCTGAGGACAGCTCGTCCAGTTCTAATTGCTCGCTCCATTTCGACTGAGTTCATAGTGAGTTCAGTCCTTAAGCCGAGCAAACACTTCACGGTCCAGTAATTACTGACAGCTAAACTCATGACCCAATGCTTTAATTCACTAGGCTGATATCACGTAAGACAATCCTGGTGTAAAAACCTTAAACCTAAAACAGTAGACAGGTTAGACTGACAGTTATCTGATGAAGACCAGAGGGCAAAATGGCCTAAACGTTGGGATAATACAGATGAAGACAATAATCCTCATGTAAAAAGTGTAAGAAAGGAAGTAGCATTGTTTTATTATAGAATAAATATCAATACCATGTTACATATGTGGAGAGTAGCTTTTAAGTGCTCAAAATAAATTCATTAATTTTGAGATATAATATTACAGAGGTTTCAAAATAAATAAATGAATAAATAAATAAAATAAAATAAAAAATAAAAAAAAGAGGACGAATAGGTGAAGTAAAGTATAAAAATAAAACGAAGTAAAATAAGACATTTATCAATCTTTTTTTTTCCTGTCTCCAAAACTGAATGCATCAAAAAATTCTGAGGACAAATATGTTTACAATTTTTTTTTTAAGCGTTTCACCCCAAGCAAGGCGGGAAGCCACTAGGACGCAAGGGGTTACAGAAAATTTGGAGCAGGATCAGATAGGAGTGTGTGGACATGAAAGTGAGACTAACCTTAGCTCTCGACATAAGAGGGTTCGTTTGTGTCTGGCGTGCAGGGCAGTAATTGGTCCGAAGGAAGAAACACCACCATTACGGTGAGTCGGACTTATGGGAAACGCGAAATTGTAGCCGCGAGAATTGACGAGAGGTGAACTTGGCCGTATGCAAATTGGTTGGTGTTCGCTGGCATAAATGTGATGGCGGGAGACCACTCGACAGAGTTGTGTGTAGCGAACTACGAGGCGGTGTTGGAATATTTGAGTGCAAAGATCTGTGGAGTTTTGTAGCTAGATTGTTTTGAGCAACCTGTCTTGAAGCTGAGGAGTTTTGTTTCTTCCGGAAGTAGGCTGTGCCGGGCCAACCCTTTCCCTTCCTATTGTTTGGACCTAATTTTACTACAGAGTGATAGAAGAAAGGGTGAGGAGAAGGGTAGTGGATAGATCAAGGCAATTGGAGATGTCGATTGACATTACATTTGAATAGCTGGAGATTATAGCTCTCAGGGAAACTGGAATAGAGAAGGGAGTTCCACAGGCGAGAGGTGCGAGACATGAAGCTGTTGGAGTAGAAGAGACGGCTACATTTAGGAGTTTCGACGGTGAAGAGGTGAGAGCGGGATGCCAGCCTCGTCGGACGCTTGAACTTATGAAGTCTGGAAACCAGCGAATGCAGCTCCTCGGAGCAATTGCCATGAAAGTATTTGTAAAACAGACAAAGAGAGGCGACGACGCGTCTGTGAGAAAGTGTCTGTAGACGAGATGTCAGAGCAGGGACAATTATATTGCATATCCGCCTCTGGAGCCTATCAAGAACCCCGGGGCAAACAGAAGGGGCTCTAGACCATATATGGCAGCAATACTCCATGCGAGGGCGAATTGTTGATTTGTAGATCTGGAGGATCGACTTCGGGGAGAAAAACTTCCTGGCGCGGCTCAGGGAGCCAATTTTCCTTGCGGTGGACGAAGCAATTGACTCAATGTATTTGTTCCATCTCAGGTCAGCAGTCAACGTGAGACCGAGCAGCAGCAGAGAGGTGCTCTCGAGCAGTTGAGCGTCAGACATTCTAATGGAGGACAGGGAAGAATCTCTGTGGTGATTAATAGAGAGAAGTTTTGTTTTTGAAGCATTAAAGTCGACCAGCCAATTCCTGCCCCAGTTCACAACCGATTGGAGGTCCTTTTCGAGACGCACGGCCAGGTTATTTTTTGTCACTGACACTAGATTTGTTTTTGAGGCAGGAATAAATTGTGGTATCATCCGCGTAGATGCCAACTTGGGAATTTATGGCGTCAGGAAGGTCATTTATGTAGATAAGGAATAGAGTGGGGCCTAGGATGGAGCCTTGAGGAACACCTGCGTTCGTGGGATAGGAACTGGAGGAGAATCCGTTGAGAACGACCTTCAATTCACGGTTTGACAGGAATGATTGTATTAGGTCAAACAATCGACCCGTAATGCCATAACCCTGGAGCTTGTGAAGAAGGCCGGCATGCCAAACCCTATCAAATGCTTTGGAGATGTCTAGAAGCCACGGCACGAGCTTCCCCGTTATTTTGAAAGGCTCGGTAGACAGTTTCAATGATGGCCGTAAGCACATCAGCTGTAGATCGGGCAAAGCGGAAGCCATATTGCTTGTCTGAAAGTAGATCATGGGATGTGAGGTGGTTAACCACCTCGGTATTGATTAGGGCTTCGAAGACTTTGCCGAAGAGGGGTAGGAGACTGATAGGACGGTATTTAGAAGGGCCAGAGGGGTCTCCAGAGTTATTGAAGACAGGAACAACCGAAGAGGACTTCCAGCAGTCAGGAAAATAAGATTCCTTGAGGCAGTAGTTGTATAGTTTAGAAAGGGCAGGCGCCAGTTCAGGCGCGCATTTCTTCAAGACAATGGCTGGTATCCCATCTCCACCACTAGCCTTGTTGGGGTCTAAATTGGAGATAACCCCGTCATTGGTATTGGGCGTTATGTGTAACCCACTCAATAGGGCTTCAGTTCTAAGAGGGAAGTCGGGTATGGGTACACCGGAAGAGTCGAGCGTTGAGTTGAATGAAAATTTCCGTGCAAAGCATTCAGCCTTGTCGGCAGAGGAGGTCAGAACTTCGAATTGGTTGAATAGAGGAGGTATGGAGGGTCTGCAATTGTTCAATGCGCTTCAGCAGAGCCGCCAATAATCTTTGGAGCCAAATTTGCGAGATGCAATACGTTCCTTCATCCGAGCACCAAATAGTGACTTAGCTTCGTTGAGGACCCGTTTACACTCATTACGGGCGGAGGCAAAGAGACGTCTACATGTCGCTACGGAATAGGTGAAAGAAGTAGTTCCTATGGGCGATAGCAGCTGAGCAAGCAGCGGAGAACCAGGGGGAGGAGCGCGACTTAAGGTTCTAATTTTGAGCATAATGTCGAAATGTGTGTAGACACGTATATCCATATTTATAAATTTTATACAAGGTGACATAAGATTTACGAATAAAAGAAAATCAGGAGCTAGTTTCAGCAGGTTTTTTTTTTGTTACTTTTTGTACTTTTTACTTTGTTTTTAACTAAGTTATATTGTCAGTCAGCTATCTATCTACTATCTATATCTCATGTTGTCTGTCTGTGTGTCCGTTGTGGGCGTTGTTACCTCGCCCAGGCCGCATTTCTCACCCGATTTCGATGCGGTTTTTCACCATAAGTTTGCAAATGGCTGCCGTAAAGACATGACGGAGCCCGATTTTTGAGTTCGGACTCAGGTTCCGAAAAAATCGATAATCCAAAAAATCTGCTTACAGAAGGAATGATCGCATTTCAACAAAATTTGACATCCTCTTAGAGTCGACCATTAGAAGTGTTGTCCAGTGTTTCATGACCACGGACCCCTAAACAGCGCGGAAAATCGATAAAACCCAAAAACCGATACGCCCAGATTGCGCCTGAACCGCATGTCGGGTTTTAGCGAAAACCGACCGGATTTATGCAAAGGCCATTGGGAGTCACCATGTGAAGTTTAAACTCTGAGCGCCCCCCCCCCCAACTAGAGTGCAAATCGGCAATCGGTCAACCCTTAAAAAGGTTTTTCCAGTTGAGTATTTCCTAAATGCAGATTAATTTAAGGTCACGCTATGCGCGGGAAGAAACAGGTCAGTGCGTGCAGTGGACTGGAAGAAAACATTTGACCTCAAATTCTGGAATGGGTGCAGGGCCACTGAAATTCGGCTTTTTTTATCCCTGCTACCAGGTCTGACTTTGAGCCACAAATGACATATTCGACTTTGTCAACACTTTTGCTTTAATCGTCGCATCTTACCAAAATAAGCACTTCCTTTATTCGGGTCTTTACTGAAAAAAACCCGCATACGTGCTGAGTGAAAATGGTTCCGCCCTCAGCAGTCCATTTTCCAATTCTTTAAACCTTTATCCCTAGCCCAGGCCGCATCCCAGACCTGACGAGGAGTTTTGCGCTAAAACAACAGGGCTTCCTCCCAATCCATTTCAAAGCTAATGCCGGCAAACGGTTAGCGGCTTTTCGTTGTCGCACAAACCAAACGAGCAAACGCTTCATTGCAGCTCCTTGCATTCTCATCGCCGGCATCACGGGTCAAGCTGCCAAGCTGCATATGCAGCAGGCAGCTTGACCCTGTTTACGGCCAAGCCTTGCGCTTGCCAAATCATGCGCGCGTGCGTGAATGCGCGCTAGAATCTTCCATTTTGCGTGAGCTCATTCATTGGTCTAAGTCATGGCCATTGTCCAGGCTACACCAATCAATGACAAGTCACGCTCCCTTTAAATACCTTCAGCGCGGCTGCATCCGCACTCACGTCTTGATTTGATCGCCATTAACGCATCTGTCCTTGGATTAATTCACAGCTTCCTGCTACCGCAAGTTACCTATTTGCTTAAACGTTTGTATTACCCACTGCGCAGCCCAGTCCATCTTAGCGTTCCATACCTATTTCTACCGTTTCGTAGTTCAGTTTTGCTATTAGACAGTTAACTGCTGTCGCAAGTTACTTCCCTTCTGCCTTTACTACGCGGCACAGTACACCTCAGTATTTCACTAATTTTTAACCTTCAACGCTTTGGTTGCGTAACCTCTTCCTCCAGCGACGTTTTCGTGCTGCCAGAAAGCACGGCCCATAGCTAGGAGAAGAATTTTTAGTTTTCGTATAGAATGAGGTTGCACCGCTTCAACATCAACTTCTATTCGCATTTTACACAGCATTTCTACAACCCTTCAAATGGCTCCTACACGACGAACATCCGCACGTCAGCAACTGAAGAGCCTAATACCGTTAACGTTGCACATGCAGAACAGGCGACTGCGGAGGAGCACATAATAACTCCGGTTACAGATGATCATATAGCGTCTACTTCAACCTATGCTTTACACTGTTCTGTGTGCCGTGGCGATGACCAACCCGGCAGCTCTGCAAAGGCTGCAAAACAACCAGGCGAGGCCACCTTAGCAGGGGTTCTAAAAAAGCCTCTCCGGCTAAGGGGAAACGGGAGTAGGATTCAATTGAGTGCACCTCCTTGGGTGAGAAGCGGCTGGCGTCTAGTTCAACCTCTGCTTTGCACTCTTCTGAGTGCCGTGTCGATGACCGACCCGGCAGCTTTGTTAAGTGTGCCAAAATAACATGGCGAGGCAACCTTAGCAGGCGTTCTAAAAGAGCCTCTGCGGCAAAGAGAAAGCGAGAGGAGGAAACCGAGGTAGAGGCCGCTTTGAGTATTTCTAGTCAATCTCAACGGAGGCAGTATGTTTTGTCACATGAAACGCTTGGTGAGCGTAACTACCGTTTGTACTGCAAATCAGTTTACACATATTCGTTGAAAAGTAAGAGGAAACTACCAAAACGCTTGCAAGACAACAAAAAGCGGCTTCATTACAAGCGGTTTTGCGGTTTCGACGGAGCCAGCATCGAAAAGCTACTCGCAATGCAGCCGACGCCCCTGCAACTTCCATTCGACGGTCCCAGGAGACCACGGCTGAGAAAACCGCACGTAACGCAGCGAAAGCTGCGGCAACGTCCATTCGACGGTCCCAGGAATCCATGGCTGAGAAAACCGCACGCCATGCAGCCGACGCCGCTGCAACTTCTGCTGCAAGGGCGTCAGAAAGTTCCGCGCAAAAGCGCACAAGGCGGCAACGCGATGCAATTTCAACTTCCGCTGCTAGAGCTGTAGAAGGACCTACTGAAAGGCTTGAAAGGTTGCAGACTGTTAACTAGCGCCGCCATGCAAGCGAGGGCTCTGTAGCCCACCAAAGCACTTTTGGTTTAAGCTGGCGTTCAACTATGAGCCAGTTTTGAGGCTTTCCGGTCGCAAAGACCTCCAAATAGGATCCATGTCAGTTGTCTGTGGGCATTGCAATGCCAAAAAATGCCCTGGAGAGTCTCGCAGGTTTGTGTTGTTCAGACGGTAAGGTACAGTTGGAGGGTACCAGTCCAGACTCCAAACATTTTCTCGCAAAAAACAGACAGTACAATTGTGCCTTCTAGATGACCTCTTTTGGTGGTAATGCCTTCCGCGAAGTCGGTTGGAACCCCCCCCTTCAAGGTTCAAGGTCAGGTTTACCACCGGATTGGGTCTCTTTTGCCGGAAACTGCCACTGATTCGGCCTTTCCACAAATATACTTCATAGCTGGCTACAATCAACAGGCAGATGCCCGCATGGGCATTATTCCCGAGAAAGATACAGGACAGGACAATTATCCTCGCAGGGATATCGTAATGAGTCTCCAACAAATGCTCCACGAGACAAACAGCTATGTCCGCAGTTGTAAGTATGCTCTCGAAAATAACACTTCTGATTTCATTATTGTAATTGATGCTGACAAACGGCCTCAGGGAGAGCACGAACGTCGTTACAATGCTCCCGCAAGTAACGAAGTTTCCGTCATTGTCAGCGGTGATCAGCACAACAGACGTGGTATTGTTATCGAATCGCGCGGCAGTGGGCTCCGAAGAATCAGTGAAACGCACCGGTCCTAGGATGCACTGCAATACCGTCTTCTTTTCCCTTACGGAGAAGATGGGTACCACTTTGGCATTCTGCAAAATGGGTCCACCTTAAAAACCTTCAATCATCTTCATCGAAGCCGGCAACTTTTCCATCAATTCATAGCAGACGTGGCTGCTAAGATGGAATCCGAAAGACTGTTACATCAGAGTGAATCAGACCAAGTTGCGCTGCGACTCTTACATTCACCTCCGTGATGCTTTACGAAATGACGCTGATCCACGCTATAGGCAAGATGTGCATACTACCTACAACGTTCACAGACAGTCCACGATACATGCACGCGAGGACGCAAGACGCGATGACATACGTTCGTAAGTACGGCCGACCAGACCTATTCATAACTTTCACGTGTAACCCAAAATGGTACGAAATTGCTAAAGAACTTATGCCAGGGCAATCGGCCTACGACCATCCAGACCTCATTGCGCGCGTTTACCATCTGAAGTTGGGAAAGCTAATGGATGTGATTACAAAGGGCCAGGTTTTGGGGGCTGTTTGCTGTCGCCTGCACACTATTGAGTAGGAGAAACGCGACCTGCCTCACGCACATATACTAATTTGGCTGTGCGACAAGATTGAGGCCACAGAAATCGATCATCTTATTTCTGCTGAAATTCCTGATCCGTCGGCTGACACTGAATTGTACAAAATAGTGACAATCAACATGATTCATGGTCCCTGCGGGTCGCATTACAATTACACCAGCTGTCACAATAGCGATGGCAAATGCACCCGGCAGTACCCACGAGATTTCGTGAGCGAAACTATTACAGGGAGCAATGGTTATCCACTGTACCGGCGAAGGAGTCCCGCTGAGGGAGGATTTACAGCCGTGGTAAAGTCCACCAAGTGGATAACAGATGGGTAGTGCCATACTGTCCCCTGCTAGCAAAAGCGTCCAATGCGCACATCAATGTCGAATATTGCCATTCAGTTCGCTCCATCAAGTATGTATGCAAGTACATCAACAAAGGGACTGATGTTGCGATGTTTGGTATTAGGCAGGAAGGTTCCGTAGACGAAATCCAGGACTTCATTGTAGGGCGCGTCATTAGCAGCACAGAGGGTCCTTGGCACATATTCAGCTTCCCCATTCACGAACGCTTCCCAGTAATCGTCCAGCTTGCTGTGCACCTAGAAAACGACGAACTTCGTTATTTTTCTGCGGATACAGCAATGGATGTGGCTGCGCGTACCAAAGACAACGCTTACAGCGTTCTTCAAACTGTCGACAGGACGAGTTTGCTAGGACTCTACTGTACCCAGACGTGCCTTCATACTACGTGTGGACAAAAAAGAACACCTGGGCTCGGCGGAAGCGCGGGGCCAACGCCGAGGGCTATCCAGATGTCAAAAAAGACGTCCTACTCGGAAGGGTATTCACGGTTCCCCCATCGCGACAGGAATGTTTTTACTTGCGACTCCTTTTGCACGAAGTTAGTGGTCCAACGAGCTACAATAACTTACGGACTGTTAATGGAGTTTTATGTGACACTTTTCGTGATGCCTGCCTCCGTCTCGGCCTTTTGGAAGACGACAGCCAGTGGGATGCCACAATGGCTGAGGGAGATCTTTTTAAAATGCCTTCTGCTTTGCGCCACATCTTCACCACAATCTTACAAATGTGCGAACCCAGTGATCCCAAATCACTTTGGGACAAATACAAGGACGTTTTGTTCGAAGACATACTCAGAGAAGCGCAACGGCTGTGTCCAACAATGGCTCTTACATTCAACGATGAAATTTACAACAGGGCGCTTATAATCATTGAGAACGTGTTTGTTGAAATGAGGGGGGGATCTCTCGCCGCTATTGGGCTTCCAACGCCAGATCGTGTGGCTTCCTCCAGTCTCTCACCTGAGATTGTGCGGGAGACATTCTACTCTGTTGAGGAGCTCAACGCCTATGTCACAACAAATGAACCGAAACTTCTCATAGACCAAAGGGCCGCTTACGATGCGGTTCTTGCGTCCACCAGTCAGGATACAGGATCAATTTTCTTCCTGGACGCGCCTGGGGGAACGGGAAAAACGTTCATAACAAAACTGCTTCTTGCAGAAATTCGGCGCCATGGCGAAGTGGCGCTAGCAGTAGCGTCTTCAGGCATTGCTGCCACATTACTACCGGGTGGCCGAACAGTGCACTCAACGTTTAAACTTCCGCTTGACCTGATTAAGGCAGAAACAGCTGTATGCAGTATAGCCAATCAATCAGGTCTAGCGGAGGTACTCAGGCGATGTAAGCTCATCGTCAATCCCAAAACTGCACTCGAGGCACTAAACCGCTCTCTGAAGGATATTCGAAACTCCGATGACCTTATGGGAGGTATAACTGTCCTTCTATCCGGTGACTTTCGCCAGACCCTCCCTAAGGGGACAAGGGCCGACGCTATTCGAGCATGCTTGAAATCGTCACAACTTTGGCCCACTGTTAGACCATTGCACCTTACCACCAACATGCGTGCACACCTAACTCGCGATGTTGGGTCCGCCGAATTTTCGAATTCATTATTAGCCCTTGGCGAAGGTATTATTCCAGCGGACACTAATGGATTTGTAAACGTTCAAGGGTTGTCTACAGTGGTCACAACGCCAGCAACACTCAGAGAGAATCAGTTTTTCCTGATCTTCAAACCAACTACAACAATATTGAGTGGCTTGCTGGGCGGGAAATTCTTGCCCCTCAAAACACCACTGTGACAACCCTTAATAGACAGCTTCTGAAAACTGTGCCAGGGGTGTTGCACGTTTACAAATCCATTGACAGAACTCCAGACCCCGCTGAAATGGCGAACTTTACAGTGGAGTTCTTAAACAGCCCCCACTCCGCTGGTTTCCCTCCTCACATTCTGAGGGGATCCTGGTTGTGTTGCTTAGAAACCTGCGTCCACCGAAACCAGGATGGTTATTCAGGCCCTACACCCAAACATTATTTCGGCCAAAATTAAAACTGGCTGTGGTAAAAGGAAGCAAGTGCTTATCCCAAGGATGCATTTGTATTCATCAGATGCCGACGTACCCTTCACTTTCAGAAGATCCTAATTCCCAGTCGCACCCTGTTTTGCTATGACAATTAATAAGACCGAAAGACAAACGCTATCTGTCACTGGTGTACACTTAGAGGAGCAATGCTTTTCACACAGCCAATTTTACGTAGCCTGCTCTCTAGTCGCCATGCTGCTAGTCAACTATAATAATCGACAGGACCGGTACTTACTGCCACGAACCACTCAACCATGTGGGGGCTCCATGACTACTAAGGAGGTGGGACAGAAGTGTTAATTTCAGTAGCGCCTATTTTTTTTTTTTAATTGTAACTTTCTGAACAGTTCTTTTAAAATCAATTTAAAGTGTAATATATCTGTAAAATCATTTTTTTATTCCGAGATCATCCACTATGGAGGAGTTTTTTTTTTTTTTACTAATAGTAATACTAACCAGAAGTCCACGGTTAGTAATTAAAATAAAATTTCTAGTCCCTATTTTTACATTTCTAGAAAGATAAAACCAAGAAAATGATCGCATAAAAAATGTTTAAAGATTTCAACACATGAAAAATTTTACCGAAATCAGAAATACTGTTTAAAAAAAAACAATCCCGTTTGTGATGTGTTGGAATCTTTGTAAAACTCTTTTTCAGCGGAGATGCGTCAGCGATTAATCTCTATGGAAATTTTAAAAATTGCGACTTAAACATTTTTTTCGAGTAAAATTTAGTCATGAAAATATTGGTTATTCCAAAAAAGAATAACATTTATTTTTCAAATTTTTTTTTAAATAAAAAAAGCTATTCATTATAAAAGTAAATAATTAATGAACATGTACTGAAATTTTAATTTAATTGGATAACTGATTTTTGGCAATTTAAAAAAGGGCTGCACGCCTCCCCTCCCCACAATTTCCCTCGAGAGTTTGTGGCTCCAGATTGGGAAACTTTGAAATCGACATGTAGGAAGGAGGTAGGGGCCGCATCAAAGCTTCGGGGTGGTGGTGGCGAAACCCTAGCGCCGGCCCTGGTTTCACCAATCTTTCAATTGGGGAGTATCTGCCGGCCTGGAAACTCCGTATACAAAATACGGACATACTTCAAGCGGGACATACATGGCTATTTTAGCCATAACGCAAATCCTAAGTAGTTATGTAATCAAATTTACAACATTAGTCCTGTCAGGGACCCAATAGTAAAGCAAGGACTGAATACACAACAGGTCTGTGAAACAAGCTTGTTAACCATTGTGCTACGATAGATTCACAGTTATTGCCCTTCAGTCACTCTGGCACAAAGCTGCAACTGAAAAGCACACAATATAAATGGAACTCGGGCACAAAAATTAGTGTGCGAGACGAACTACGACAGGCGCCCAATGTATTCGTTTGGGTTTCGAAGTTTTATAAGAAAACTATGAAAAAAAAAAAAAAAAAAAAAAAAAAAAAAAAAAAAAGAAAACTTTCTAAAAGATCAAAAACAAAATCTTTACTTCTTGAAAATCTCCAGACTTGCAGTTTTATCACCGATCTGTTGAATCCGAGATGTTTATTATCCATTACTGAACGTTTTTATTGGTCTTTAAGAGAGATTTATGATCAACGATTGGAATTTATGGCTTGATCTAGCCAATTAGCAGTGAGTAAGAGAAAAAATATCACTACAGAAAGAAAAAAAAAAAAAAAGATTCAGTGCCTCACAGATGTTTATTGCCAAAACATTGCATTTTACCTACATAGATGCATTCATAGTCGGGAAGGATGCGATGAAATTTGCTTATAAATCATTGCCTTCAGGCATTTTTATCTAACGGTTTTAGGTATTTATCTTTAAAGTTTTTCATAATAAAAAAACTTTTTTTTTTACTTTTCAAATAATAAAAAAAACATTTAACTTAAATCTTTGGTCGCTAGAATTATCTTTTTTCCTGTTGAAAAGGAGGCGGCTGGGAGACGCAGTGGTAATTGCAATAGCGAGTACCCGTTTGCGGTCGGAGAGAAAAGATTGAGCAATTGTGCGAGGTTTTGATAATTTTTTTCCTAATCTATCTTTAGCTATAATTCTCGTTATTTTCAAATGGTAATTTTAAAATATCGATTTTAATTCTACATATTTTTATTTTCTCCTTAAAATTTAAAATATTTCCCGCATGTTTATGACTAAGTTTTCTTTTATAACTACATACTTACCGACTAATTTTCTTAATAACTATTAGCAACTGTTTGACTTTTTATAATTGTTTCCATTAAAATATATATTTTTTCGTTATAGTATTCGTGTATTTAAAAAAAAATCTGTATTTCTTTTCAGTTTTTCATTCATGTATCCCGTTCATATCTCTTTTACTTTATGTATTTCGTGTGTTGACTTTACAATTTATCAATAACTTAATTTTTCCATATTACTACATATTACTAGTTATTTTGAAACCTAAAATTTTGAATGTCGCAAAAAGCGATATGTGAATTTAGTAAAGAATGAATACGAAACTGGTTTCGGCAAGTTGGCTTTTGTCTTTTATATTCTGTAAAGAAATATTGAACTTTGTGAAAAATGGGAGATAATTAGAACATGTAGATAGATGGAGGCAGGTACAATCGGAGATTTGAAGTCAATCTATTTACAGTTCCATGTGATTAAAAAATTAAACCAAGAAAGTTTAATCAGAATAGGCTTCCTGGGTATAAATTACATACCGGCAGCAAGGCCTCTGATCAGGAGGTTTTGAGAAGCGTGGGACCACCCCTTTATTGCTGTTGTTCCCAGGTCCACTCTGAACCGGAGTGGTAGCACCTGTTAGGGATCCAGTTAATAGTTAATGTTTTGACCTCAGTTTGGTGGTTAAAACATTATGAAAAATATAAAAAATTTTGTATAGTAAAAAATACCAGCAATATATTTTTGAAAATATATATATATATATATATATATATATATATATATATATATATATATTGCGAGCAAAAAATAATACATATTCTAATCATACGAACCTATCCTAAAAGTCTTGTTGGCATTTATTGTTATTTATTTGTTATTTAACCCACTGAGGTTGATATGCCGTAAAACAAAATAAGCCAAACTAACAGGAATAGGGCTCCGACTTAAATTCATGCCGAAAATAACGGAACAATCCTAAAAAAAAAAAAAAAAAAAAAAAAATTCAGAAGGTGAATAAAATAGAGAGATCTAAAAATTCATATATTGTTAATATTCAGATAAATGAAACAGTAGTGATAGGGAAAAGAGAAGTTTCAAGATTATTCCACTTTTTTGCCAAAGAACTTCTAACATGTACGAGATGGCATTGCCAAAAGCAGTATATAAGGAATGGACGCATTTTTTCCACTTAACCACAAGATGCCAAAGTGATAGGACACGCCTTTTCCCTCCAACTTTCGGGGACTTTTCAATCCCCAGCCAATCAGATGTTGCATTGAACACAACGTACATATGCCTTAAGCGTACTTGATTATACACAGGCATGTCTGATAAACCTAATAAATCAACAGATAACAAAAGACTCTTCTCAGATGTATGTTTTTCCACATTTTTATAGGACCTTGCGCATACGTATGTACGAAAAAGACACCCCTATATACGCACATACATTTATTCACTCCTTTAATATTTTTTCTATATAGTTTGCTTTGGCAATAAAACACGTTTTTTTTTGTACTTAACCATTTCTATATTCTTTCTTTTCCGAAGAAACTTCAAAGCGTCTCCTATCAACTACAGATAATCACACTACAAAGTCATCTTAGGAATTACGGCTTGACTGCGAAACCACAGGAATCATTGCAAGTGAGAAAGAACAGGACTGGGAAATTAATCTTATTTGTGATGAGTGACGATTTAAATAAACGGGAGTTAATTTCATTGTGTGTGAAATTAGTTGGTCACTATTCTATTGTCGGTTGGCAACAATCGCATGCATTTATATCAAGAAGCGAGCAAATGAAATAAGCTGGGACGCCAAAGTAGGCGAAAGAGCAGTCAGCATGATAAAAAGAAGGACCTCGTGAGAAAAATATGATACATGCCCTAAGTGGGAAACAAAGTCGTGTTGCAAGCAGCATAGTGTCATTTCGAAGCTTTGGGGTGGGGATATCGAATCGGAAGATGCAGCTTAGCTGAGAAAAATGTAACCAAGTTGGAGGCAATAATGAAGAGTGTCAGTTTGGCACTGAAGTCTTTGGTTTTTGCATGGGTCAAATCAGTGACCACGTGGGAAAAATGAGTGAAGACGCGAGGGACTCGGAAATGATTGTCAAACGAAAGATGACAGTCAATCAGCACCGCGTTGAGTGTAAAATATATGGAATAAATTCAGTTCGGAAGTAATTTTTGGGGGAAAAAAAACAAAAAAAAAACATGCAAATTGATACTACGCATTAACACAACGAAGCGTACCTATCAATGAGCGACTGGGCATATGTTCGAATAGCTATATGACCTAATAATAGTACGGAAAAAGGGGACAATTTGCAGCGATGATAATGTTTATGGAGAGAGGTTCAGTAGATGAAATTGGCACTGAATTTAGATCAGCAATAACTAATAGAATGGAATATTAAGTACTGTTTTAAAACTACATATATTTATAAACTGAGTGGAAACCGTGTTGGGGAGAGGTACCGCAAAAAGAATTAACGTCATAGCGTAAATGGAGCCGCTTCTCGTCGCCCAAGACTGTCTTTTGATATAACAT